GAAATTGATAAACATCTTTCGGAATGAATAGATAATCAAAGGATATGCCTTTATCCATTTTTTGCAGCAATTCCACTTTCTGTTTAATGGACTTCGAAACATACTTTCGTTTTGTAAATCCTTTACATATTAGTAAATATATATCGGAAATTCTATTTGACATAATCGAAAGTTCAAGCTTACTTTTATAAAATTGCTCTAACAGTCTGCAAAAAATAACAAGCCGACTCCAATTCGAAGATTAAGGAACAACGCAATCTGCAACATTAACTGAATTAGATAATTTTAGCTTAGCTTATACCCTCCGTTATACATTAAACATGCATGCGTAAACGTATTATGCGCATGCGTACACGCATATTCGCAGCCGTAAAGGTCTTACGCGCATGCGTAAATGCCTATGCGCATGCATCAATGTGACGCATGCGCAGAAAGTTTGTAGCTTTGATGTCCGGATTATGGGTGACCGAATTAACGACTTTTGACTGTATATATTAAAATATTTTTTTATCCTACTTGTAAATAAAGTACTTTAACAAAATAAGTAAAAAAGGATAATTTTTTTAAAAAATAAATCTCATAAAATTCCAGATAGAGTTAAAGTCTAAATATCTGATCATGAATATGAATTGAAATCAGTAATCAACAGGGCAATCAGATAACATTGTATTTATTGTATCTTCATATTTTTATTGAGCTAACTTTATGAGAATACCTTTCAAGATCATTTCATTTTTTTAGTGTCGCTTATACAGAATGAAATAATGTATTTTAACTCCTTTAAGGGAGACACAAACATAATATTATAATAGTAGTAGATCTCTCATACCAAGTTCTGAGCTCGAATTTTGGACAAGGCTTAGCTATTTCCATTGTTTCTCACTTCCTCCTGCAGATAGGTTTATTCTTTGTGGTGCATCCTGACAAATGTTGCCCATAATAAAGCGTTGATGTGATGGTTATTCCCAACAAATCTGAGTCAGCAATCGTTTATTGGGGGAATTTTCATTGATTGAATGGAACTGACACATGTTTACAAAAGATGAAAATTTGGCAAATTTCTTGAAAATCATCATAAATTGAAACTAATAATAATAATTGTAAAAATTTGAAAATGTTATAGATAACAAATGTGATTTATTTAAATGATTAAATTAATTGAAATTCATTTAAGTTAACTTTAGAAAGAAATAAAATTTCAGTCATCATTATTTGTTGGTTAATAAATTAATATGAAATGCTTTTAAATTTCATAATATTCTAACTAGAAACATAACTGCTCGAATAGGTATAAAAGTGCATTCTGAGGAAAAGAAGATAAAATTTTTGCAAATTCAGATTGAACATACCTGTAAAATGGATATGAGTCATTTTGAATATATCCTCTGCTTGAATGCTGCAGAAATAATTTCACAAAATGGTACTTTGTTATAGTGGCCACCAACCATATTTTGCAATTTTAGATTTGCATCAAGATCTGTTATAATTTCTCCAAGCTCATGAAGTGCAAATGTAAAAATAAATCACACAATATATAATAATAATACAGTCAAAAGTCTTTAAACCACGAAGGCATGCTAAGAAGGTGGGAGAAATAGCTTATACAGTACAAAATCTTTAATCCGGACGTCCATAATCTGGAATGATCTATAATCTGGACCTCAAGTTACAAACTTTCGCATGCATAAACGCATAATGCATTTACGCATGTGCATAATACCTTTACACATGTGCATATGCATTTATGCATGCGCGTTTAATGTATAACGGATGCTATAAGCTAGGCTAAAATTATCTAATTATCTATTTCAGTTAATGTTGCAGATTGCGTTGTTCATTAATCTTCTAATTGGATCTAGCTTATTATTTTTTGCAGACTGTTAGAGCAATTTTATAAAAAGTAAGCTTGAACTTTCGATTATGTCAAAAAGATTTTCCCATTCTGGAGCTGCCAAAGGATCTACAAAGCGAAAGCATGTTTCGATGTCCATCAAACAAAAAGTGGAATTGCTGTAAAAAATGAATAAAGGCATATCCTTTATTTCTCTAACCATTCCGAAATCTGTTTATCAATTTCATGCTGCTCTGCAGGGGGGGGGACGCAATGAACTGGAAGTTGATCTGTCAGCACTATCCTTATCTTCAGGGCAGATGTTTTTATTTTATTTGGCTTATAATTCCTTGCTAAATGTAGTATTTCATCTGGATGTACTCTGTCTTTGATATGATTTAAATCAAATTCCTTGTCATTATAAATATCACGAATAGACATCAAATAGTTTTCTGGTTGCAATTTTCTGATTTCGGCTATGCGAAATGTATGCTTTGCACATGCGCGCGTTGAAAGAAATGTTTAATAAAGTAAACAATAAAGTAATAAAGTAACAAATAAATATTAAGCTTTTTTTGTGTAAATTTTGATACCCTTTAGATCATAATTGCTTTTTATTTCATATTTTTAATTTTATAATTTCTGCATGCCGTCGTACCAGATTTAAATTGATGATCTAAAATCCGAAAAAAACCATAATCTGTAACCGCCGAAGTCCCGACGAGTCCGGATTAAAGACCTTTGACTGTAAATATAATACTCACATGTCATTTCCTAAGAATATTTTTAAGAATCCTTATCCTTATTATATTATTGCATATAATTGTTTTAGTCAAGTGCAGCACCTTTCACACATATTGAGCTGTTTGTTATACCATTTCATGGAGCTCAACTCCTCTGCCCAAGAATCTGCAATTTTTAACATTGGACCTCAAAATGGTTTCATTGTTAACATAAAGTTTCATGTTATGGCCATTTCCGCATACTTGTTTGTGAGAAAAGACTTCTTTCTTGAAAACATGATATGGCATCCATCTCATTACTTGGGAAATTAAAGATTGTTAACATCACATTCATACAAAAAAGGCAGTGAATATATACAGTGGTGGCCAAAATTGTGGACACTTTTGGAAATTTTTATGTTTTTGAACTTTGTATGCTTATAGAAAAAGTTACGTTTCACAAAATGCAAACTTGTATATATCATTTTAAAGATAATTTATTACTGAATGCAATACAAAACACAAAATTCAATTATTTGCAATACAAAAAAAGTTACAAACGATAATAGTTATCGATATACATTAGATAGTGATGATTGCAGTGAGTTATCAGTACTTTGTAGGGTACCCTTTATTTTTGATTACAGCTTCACTTCGACGTTTCATTGAGCTGACAAGAGTTTTAAGCTCTTCTTTCGTTATTACATGATGCCAGGAAACAATTATAGCCTCAATTAGTTCCCTTTTATTTGATGGGTGCCTCATTCGGACAAGCGTTTTCAAATGGTGCCACAAATTTTCGATAGGATTGAGGTCAGTACTGTTTCCTGGCCATGACAACAATTAATGCTCTTTGTACGAAACCACTCTTTCAATATTTTGGCCATGTGGCAAAGAGCAGAAGCCTGCTGACAAATAAACGAAACATTGTTGAGAAAGAATCTCTGATGGAAGGTAGAAGTTTTGATTCTAGAATAGTGTCAATGTATTTTCTGGCATTCAGTGTCCCATCGATGACATGAAGGCGACCAATAGCATCTGCTGACATGCATGACCAAATCATAACACTAACTGGGTTCTTCACAGTTGCTTGAATGCAGTCAGGATGTAGCTCTTCTCCTGTTCTACGTCTTACATATTTTCGCCCATCACTACCGAATAACGATATCTTAGTTTCATCACTCCATATAACTTGTGACCACTGATCATCTGTCCAATTAATGTGTTCCTTTGCCGACTGTAGTCTTTTCTTTTTCATTGCTGAAAATTAAGATAAGGCTTTTTTCGTGGAATTCTACCTCTCAGTCCGACATCTGTTAATCTTCTCCTGATTGTTCTTGAACTGACAGAAACACCAGCATCATTCAGATCACTTCTGATGGCTGCTGATGACATACATTTTTCTATCTTGGAGACATAGTCTTTTTATTCTTCTGTCATCAATAAATGTGGTGCACATTTTTCGTCCTTTTCCTTCTTTGTTTTTTATTGAATTTGCTCCTGATATTGTAAACAAAACTTTCGGACTCCAGATGTAGTCACTGAAGCACCCACCTGTCTTGCAATTTCAGCATAGGAAAAACCACTTTCTCGTAACACAATAATATTACATCTCTTTCTAGGTGTCCAATCTACTCTTTTATTTGATGTCATTGCTTCTTGACTAAATATTAAAAATTTTACAAAAATTCCTACTTGTAATTGCAGTGTATAAGAAACGGGTCCTCCTTCTACAGAACAAAGCAAAATAATGAATTGTTTCAAGTATAAACATGATGTCAGCTTTTACTGGCAGTTACTAACATTTGATTGGTTCTCAGAACAGGAACAGAGATTGGCCAGGAAAGCTAGACATTACTAACCACTTCATAACTGTATTTTTATTTATATTAAAGTACATTTTTTTTTTTTTTTTTTTATTGCAAATAATTGAATTTTGTGTTTTGTATTCAATTCAGCAATAAATTCTCTTTAAAATGATATATACAAGTTTGCATTTTGCGAAACGTATCATTTTCTATAAGCATACAAAGTTCAAAAACATAAAAATTTCCGAAAGTGTCCACAATTTTGGACACCACTGTATTTTTAAATAAACATTGCAAATTTGAAAAACTTCATAAATAATGAATAATATAATAAGAGCATGCAAGGAGAGCAAAAATGCAACATGGTGCTGAAATGTGATTATGTGGGGAAGTTTAAGAACATGCAGCTAATGCTAATATATGGTGAGGTGAAGTATAAGAACATGCAAGCCAGATTCTGGTGAGATATCTTGGCTGATTGGCGATACAGCCTTGGGGGGGGGAGCATTATATCAAAGAAGTACCCACAAAGCAATTATGTTGACTTTCAGCATATAATTTTATATATTTTTGTTAATTTTATCATTTAATTGGGCCATAAATGTAATCTGTTATTTTCTTTCATGTTTTATTCATTAGGGGCAGTGAACTTACTGATGTCAGCATTGTGAAGAAGCTGCCTAATGTGGAAGTCCTGTCACTGAGGTTTGTAGTTGTTTGTATTTATATATGTGTATTTATGTAATAATATAATTAATAGATATTCTTGACACCAAATTTGATGAAATATTTTTTTTTTTTTCCAAAAGTATGCAATGTGTGCAAAATTCAACAAAAAGTATGCCAATAAAATTTGTGATTTAAAAATATAAAAGTGTGTAAAAAATAAAATTATCTTCATGAGCTAGCCCTGGACCATGCTAGATGTAAGTACCTGAATTGGGAAATTAGCGTGCAGTGAATGCATGCAAAATGCACTGTTTAAACCAGTTAGGAGATTATGATTTGGATATAAACTATGAATAAGTATTGTTGGCTGGTATATGATCCATATGCATTATAAACAATGACACAGGAAAACTATGTGTGGAAAAAGGAATAGTTAAATTTTATTCTCCTTCCCCCCCTTTTTTTATGTTGTTGTAGCTGCAAAAATGCCCAGTTTGTGTATGTCATCCTGATGGTTTTATGTAACATTGCGCCAGAGGAAAACATGGCCAAGGCCTGGAAGGATCTTGTCCTCTCTTTCAAGGTTTATGTCCATGCCTCCAGAACTGTTCTGAGAGGGCTCCACTCCTCCCGGTCGCTGGGGAGGGAAAACCTCCCTCAGCATTTAAATTCATCTAGGCAGAGACCGACGGGCGACCATCAAACGGTTACGAAGAGATCCACAGGGCCGATCTCCACCCAGACTACTTAATATCTTAGTTCTTTCCCACGAGAGGGGTCACCACTCCCTCCTGCAGTACTCTTAATTCTATGACCTTTATAATTAAATTTGAGTTCATACGTCCCTCCGCACCGACCGACAGGAACCATATCCTCTCAGGCGGTCATATATATCAACCATGTAACGTCCCCACCACCAAGGACACTGACAAGCCTGAACCTACCACCGAATAAACGATGGTTCTAGTCAATGTGAAGACTGATTATTTGCTCTGCAGGCCGAACTGTCTAGACACAAGTCTAGCCAGTGATCTGGAAGAACCCCAGGTCTCCTTCCCCAAAGGGTCGGTTCCGGAAATTCCGCCCAGTCGGACCACAGAGTTTGTTGTTCAGCATCCATTAGCCTATGCTATCCAGCTTTATAGCCTAAAATCGTCCAAAGACAACCAGCTTTATAGCCTAATGACAGCATAGTTTCCAGCAGGCGCCACAAGGAGGCCGATACTGAACTGTGGGAGACGAGACTAAGTCTCCATTCCACGACACCGACCCTTCGATCGAACGCTGGGTCTCCTGCCTCCCGCCACTGTTCACGACGATCTTCCACGCACGGTTCACGCTGCTCCCAGTGGTTTTCAGCCGGTTCCAGACATCCGTCAACCGGGACGGTGCCGGCAGTTCTTCACCTAAGAGCAGACATCAGGTCTCCTACCGCCAGCGGTCAGTTCTGGATATCTGTCGTTGGGTCTGAACGCCACCTGCCGGTTTTAGGTAACAAAACAGTGTCTTAAAAATAAACCAAAAGTAAGATTTCTTGGATGAGTTTTAATGAGAGAGTGGGTTTTTCCTGACCAAGAGCAATGCTGACCTATGATGCTGAGAAGAGGGACTGAGTTTTCTCTCCCAGTCTTCTACAGGAGTGGTTTCCAGCTGCTGAACTGCTTTTGATGGTGATGAACTACCAGCAGCTGTTCTTCCTACACTGTCCCAACTATGTTTGATTGGATCTATATTTGGGAAACATAATGGCCAATCCATTCAAAGCATTCTTTCATTAAAAAAAAAAAAAAAAAAAAAAAAAAAAAAAAAAAAAGGAAATCCATCCATTCAAAGGATGGCTGTGTTGAAAACATGGGTGTAAGAATAACCCAGACTTAGGTGCCAGCCCTGCACTATGACTGAAGCAGTGCTTCCAAGCTTGATATCTTCTGAGCAGATGTTTTTATTTTATTCAACTTATAATTCCTTACTAAATGTAGTATTTCATCTCGATGTACTCTGTCTTTGATATGATTTAAAGCAAATTCCTCGTCATTATAAATATCATGAATACACATCAAATAGTTTTCTGGTTGCAATTTTCTAATTTCGACTATACATAACGTATGCTTTACGCATGCACGCGTTGATAGAAATGTTTAATAAATTAAACAAATAAATATTAAGCTTCTTTTTTTTTTTTTGTAAATTTTGATACCCTTTAGATAATAATTGCTCTTTATTTCATAAATTACGGTTTCATATTTTTAATTTTATAATTTTTGCATGCCATCTTACCAGATTTAAACTGATGATCTATGATACGGAAAAACTGATAATCCGGAATCGCCCGACGAGTCCGGATTAAAGACTTTTGACTGTATATAGTAACTTTAACATTTAATTGCAAGCATAAATTGAAATTCTGTTGGCAAATATGTTTATAAATTTATTTAAGCAACAAGAATTGTTTGTACTGGAAAGCAATCTGTTAAAAGGTGTTGTAAAGCAAAGTCTATGAGACGCGTATTTAAGGAAGTAGTAAAGAAGAATTTTTAGAATATGTATTGGTGAAATTAAAGGTAAAAAAAAATTTATAAGTATTAAAAGAATTATTTCCTTACATTTTGTAATAACTCAGTTACAAGTTTTAAATAAAAGAGAAAAAAACCTTTTTTATTCCCTTTCAGAAATATTCATAGAAAGTTAAGTACATGAAAATCAGCAGCAATTTTTTATGTATTTCACAATAAAAGGTGCTCTAATTTGAAATGAACCAAAGAGAGCATTAATTATAAAGTGCCTGTAATTTTTTTATTTAAAGGATGTCTCAGAAGCTAAAAATATCATCTCATATTTAAGAAAGCATTTCAGGAAGAAGCTGTGTAAATAGAAAAGAAATAATGAACAATTTTAATATTGATAATAAAATCAACTTTGATCTTAAGTTTGTAATCGTTAACTGAACAAAATCGAATTACCTTAAAAATATTTCTAATGCAGTTAATGAAAACTTGTGAAAATATTTCATTCAAATTAAACTGTTCTGGGAAAAGTATAGCATTTAATTCCATTCAGAATGAAATGTTTAAAAATGCATTCTTTTCACATACTTAGGACTCTGAAATATTGTAAAAAAAAAGGAGATATTGACATTTATACATATATTTAGGAGGTAAATATGAAATGTTTATTTCCGATCATTTCAAAACCTATTGATCTTAATGGCAAGTTACTGAATATTTTCATGTCCATGAGGAGTGCACCACTGCTTCAAAGCAGTGCATGGGAAAAACCAATTAGGGCATCGCCTCTAACTTCTTATTTCTATGATTGAAAAAAGAAATCATCCACTAGCTGAGCATCGTATGGCTTGCACTATCATCCACAAGAATGAATTCAACCCTGATTCGTGCAGCATAAATGACCACAAAAGATCTGAGGATCCCATCCCTCTATTGCTGTCTTCAGTGATCCATTTCTATGACATACAGGTTGGTATGCCATTAATAGAAATGCTATCCCAGACCATCACTCCACCTCCTTCAAATACACTTTTTTTCGCAAATTCAGAAATTCAGGATTATTTCGAGTGTCATATTTCTTCCAAATGGTAAACCATCTATTGTCAAACAAGACTCGTCCAAGAAGAGAACATTGCTCTGTTCATTTCGTCTCCATCTGAGATGGCCTTGTGCCTACATTTTGTAAGATGTATAGTAACTTACTATTAAAGAAACACAATCCATACATCTGCAATCAATCAAACCAACCCTATGAAGTCAGTTTCAAATTTGAGTTGAAATGCTGGCGTCAGCTGCTCTCAGGTGCTTTTGCAAAAGGGGGTTGTTCATACTGTAGTTTCTTTGTTAATGCTAGTCTTCATTTTATGTTATTGCATGCCTACGACTTTTTTTCCTTACTTAACATTTCCAGCTTCCAAGAACTGACCCCATAATTTGAAAAGAACACTTTGGGGCACATTTCAAAGGCCTCTGCTATCACAGGTTTCATTTGGGTCACTTTTAAACTCCACACTAGTAATTCATCCAAATCATGTTATTAAGATATATTACTGCTACAAAGCATTCAATGTGTCAGTTTCTAATTTTCTCCTGCATAAAGAATTCAGAAAATCACTTTTTGCCATCTAATCACTGTCATTGATTACTATTTTGTCATCACAGACAAAAATATGTGTATATTGAAGTTTGCAAATGGGATTATTTTTCTTTTTAATCTCTTTTCTTTCATTCTTCTTAGAATGCTAGGTAATTTTTTAAGTTTGTGCTTGTCAAATGTTTCTTGCTGAGCCTGCAGTATCCGCTATTTGTTTTGAGCAGTGTTATAAGGGTGGCTAGATTTTTAATTTTAAACAATTGATAATGAAAGCAAAAGATTCTGCACCTTCCCATTGTATGTTATTTAGAACACCATAACTTAATCATATAGTATTATGGTAATTCTGAGAGCTATAAATATACTGTTGTGTTTTATTTTCTGACACCATTTTTTACATTATTTTCTTCCTTCACGTTCGTATGGGGTTCGTGTGGATTTGGAGTGAATAACAATGACACTTGATGAAGTATCAAAACATACTTTATTATTTACCAATATTAATCAGGACAGCTCCAAAACACTTTTACAGTCATTGAAGATCTACAATAAACTTGCTGGAACAATCAGTGACACAGCCTCACACTGTCGGGCAATAATGGTGGTGACAGCTTTACTGCAAAGCATCAGAGTACAGCTCCCGACTCTCTTCGGTTCTCTGAACTCCATGTACTCTCAAGACTCTCCACGCTACAACTTGCGATGCACTCGACGTCACAGCACAGCTCCCGTCTCTTCAGTTTAGTCGTTCCCAGAGCTTAACACACTCTTTCGACGATGCACTAACTGTGATACACTAAGAGACTCTTCGATGCACTCGACGACCATCTCGGCGCTAGACTTCGAGACACTCGCTCAGTGACTGACTATCAGCTTGCTAGACGAGGCACACATTCGATAATCTCCGCATACCAGCAGGGAGCAGGGTTTATATAGCTTTTGGCTGATGTTCGAGAACATTCTGAGCTAAACCGGTAAGAATTCGTTCCAGAAGGTTCTCCATCCGTCTATGGCATATTGCCAAATGGGCGATTTCTCACCAAATGTGGCAACCCTGCCTTAGCTTAATGGCAAGCTAAGGCAGGGTATCTATTTATCTTACCAATCCTGTACATTTTGTAACAATACTTTAAAAAAAGTCAACCTTACATAACTTTATGGAAAATCTCTGCTACCAAATATAATTGCAGAAATCATATCACTTCTCACTAGCAAGACAGTGCCAAGTTGAAAATTGAAATAAAAAAAAAATGCTTGCATTATATTTGTAGGTAATATTAACATAAATGAAATATCAGTGGATCCCAGCTCACTGCGGGATTCTTAGGAACAAGGCTGCCGGTATTTTGGCCAAGAGGAATGGAAGGGTCTTCCAGAGACTTTAAGAAGCCTCTTATTTCATTCAGTTAAACTGATAAAAAGATGATGTGCCTCCAGAATAAAGCAGAAAGCACTGTGTGACTCTGCCAGTAAGCCATAGGCCTCATTGCTTGAGGATACACAGTTAAGCATAAATTTTCCTAGAAGTGCAGCTGTGGCACTTTTCCGCCTTACAAATGTGCGAACAAAATCAATTTTTTTATGCTATTCATCATGACTCGTGCTCTGCACTTGTGTTTCTGCACAGCTGAAGTAGATGAGATTATGCTACCTAAATTAATTAAAGAATTACAACTGTTCATTTTGAAGTTCAGAATTAGACAAGATAGCAACCTTATTTTAAATTTTGGATAAGGTACCTGACCTTCATGAAACTATGAGTATTTGAGACATTCTTGATATGAAAAAAATAAAAGTATTTGGTTTTCTTGTTTATATATTATGTATTTCATAAATACTTAACTCATTTTATAATTTTATTTTCTAAAATTAGCTTTTTCAGTTTAAAAATAATGTATGCCTTTATGTTAATAGCTTCAGTAAAGTTCAAAAATGTTTTGCATTTTATGATTATTCACATCAGCACCAAAAAGTCACAAAAACGTATTCATGAGGCAAAGCATTATGTCACCAAAATAATGAAGTGGCAATCCACAATGTCATTAAAAAAGGATTTATTTAGCAACTCAGATATGCAGTGTAGTACATGTTTTGGCTAGTGTGCTTAGCTGAAGTTCTATGGATGCCAAATTTGTGCAGTTGTCTGATGTTTTTTAAGTAAATACAGGTTATTGTGTACTTTGGAAGAACAATGGTGCAAAAAAAAAAATGGATTACTAAAAAAAATGTTTTGTTATTGATGTTTGTTGCTTTTTAATTTTATTGATTGATTGTTTTTGTATGGAGTTCATAGTGTGCGGTCATTTTAAAAATTACTGTTGCCTTTTGTGCATTAGCTTGGCAAAAAATTAGTCTCCAACAAGTTCATGAATGTACTCCAAAGCTTCAAGAAAGTCTGTGACTTTTCAGTGAAGCTGCGAATAATTAAAAGCTACTTTTTTTTTTCTTCAAATTATTAGTTATATCTCTTTAATCTGGCTGATTGGAGGGCATTATTAGTAGCACTAAAGCTTAAAAATATTTTTATACTGCATTTGCTTGCTTTGTAAAGCCTTGTTTCTTTCTTGTATATTATAATTTCCCAGGATTTCATTTGTATAATAAATGGATACAGAAGATAATTTAGTAGTAATATGTGTAAATATAAATTATTATCTATGCTTGTAAATATGGATAATGTTGCCTTGAGGAAAATTGCTAGATATCTTATGTGAATAATATTGAATCAAATTGCTATTTATGTGCAAGACAAAGTTCAAAATCTGCAATTTTTGGGACTTGGGCTAATCTGGATTTCAGAAATTTCGAGAATTTAGATCATTAGTTCAAATCGAGTGAGCTGAAATGTGGAAAACATAAAAATATGAAATGTTTGTGTACTGATCGAGCATTTTTATGATCATAAGGGAACCAAAATTTTCAAAAAAAAAGCTAATTGTTAATATTTATTTTGCTTTATTAAATGTTCTATCAATATATGTTATTCAAACAATTTCATTTTTATGGTAATATTTAATTTTATAGAGAAACATAATTTCTTTTTCAATTACTAAGTTATTTTGTTCAAACCATGTAATTGCTGTGTTGAGAATTCTGTGTAAGTAATCAGTTGAAATCTTTTCATAGTCAAAAATTTCTTTTGTCATTTTCTTTATATTTTTGCCATTATTTTCTGGATTTAAAACCTTATGACAATTTTGCCATCCTCTCACTGATAATTGAGGCATTAGAGACTTCAAGAAAAGCAGCTGCTCTGTTTCACCAGAAAAGAGGTATTATTTTGTATAAAAAATGAATGTGATTAAAATGTGACTTGAAGCCAAAACGGTGGTGTACTTTTAGTTCAACCCAATTTGATGTCACAAGCCTGTACTACAGTATTATTTTTTACTTTTAGGTTTAATATTACAGTATCATGCATCAAATAAGCAATAAAAATCTTATTTAAAAAGCATTAATAAGCATATTTTTCCCTTTCATAAATTCTGTTTTCTTTAATATTATAAATGTTATAATATCCATATTGTAAAAATATTTCTGTTGAATGATATGGCAAACCTATAGCATCAAAAGTTTGAGTACATAACAGGTTTATTTTGTATAATTTTTTATTTTTAACTATTTTCAATAGTTTGACAATGCCCAGGTAAGAAGGTTGTCAGATTTAGGAGGTACAACCAAACTTTTTGTAAGTGTCTTAAAATTTTGAAATATTATCTTTATTTTTCCAGTGTTAATGCTATATCCTCATTAGAAGATTTTTCACATTGCAATAATTTACAAGAATTATATATAAGGAAAAATAATATATCAGAACTTGGTGAAATTCGACATCTTAAAGACCTTCAAAAATTAAGGAATTTGTGGTTAGCAGATAATCCCTGTGCAGAAGGTGATGACTATCGTCTTACTGTTATACGTGCCTTGCCACAGTTACAGAAACTTGATAACGTGCGTAAGTAATTATATTTTATTAGCCAGTAAATAAATAAAAATGAAAATTCTAATTTGTATTAAAAATTAAGATTTTGTCAAGGTATAAATTTTCTTTAAAAATATATTAAATTTAAGGATTATTATCTTATTTGGTTCTAATAAAAATTAAATATTGCTTGGTACTTTTCCCTTTGGCCAACGCAAATCTCACCAAGCAGACTTGATTGGCGACAACACGCAGTATATACATAAATAACAAATGTTAGTTCTAAGAATTTTTTATTTTGAAAGCATAAGATAGTTAGATTTTAATATCATTTAAAATTTTGTAAAAATACAATAAATAAAGGCAATAAATTTGTAAAAAGCAATTTAAGAATTTACCATGATCTCATGGTTCAACATTCTGATTCACTGGTTCATATCACATGACCCCAAGTGATCTCATCTCACGTAAAGTATGCTACAAAAATTTAATTCCGTCAGTAATTATCTACATTAATTTCAATTTAAATCTTATGGAATACAAATTTAAATGCAAGAATTATTTCAATTCGTACAAATAGCTTACTCGGAAATTATGTAAAACCACAGTGCTTTACTTCACTAGAGCATTCTCATTAGAATTGACGAATTTAACCCTTGACTTCACTTTTTTTATATTTTCGCCTTCAGGTGAGCGGTGTGATTGCATCCTAATTGACTTAATTACCGCAAAAGCCCTTAGTAATAGAAATTACTTAAATGGCAGATATATTTTGAAAATATAGTAGAAAGAAATAAGCAAACCACAAATGCACGCTCATGTTTATTTACTTGGCTAACTAAACATGTAATGTGCATTTTTGGTTTGCCTTATTTCTTTCTACTATACTATCAAAATATATCTGCCATTTAAGTAATTTCTATCATGTTATCAGCACGATATGCTCTGAAGAAGTTTATTTAGGAGAAACGAAAAAGAAATTTTGATTTTTCCGAAAGAAAAAGAAGCAACATCCACAGCACCGACGAAGCTAAGCCTAACACATTGAAAGTAATTTCTATCACTTAGGGCATAAAATTGAACTATCTGGTAAAAATCCTATGTAATTTTATGCCAGTATTGAAAGAAACAATTAATCCGATAAAAAATTGCTGCTACTTGTTTTCAAAATCAAGCATAAAAGGTTACCAGGGAGGATATTCCGTTTGGCATCGGTTGTACCATTTTTGGTGACTTTATCGTCTGCGCCAGCAAAATGGAAAAGTACCTTTTGTTTTTTTCTTTTATTCTGTGAGTAAAAGTAATAAATGTACAGGTTGTGTAATTCTTTACATATGTATTAATGCATGTTATATATTAGCACAAGCACCTTACTGAGATTTAAAAAAGAATATTTATTACATATACATATATTATTATACAAAGTTTATTTTTAATTAGGTATCTATCCCAAAAATTAATTAATAAGTATAGTTAATAAGAGGTTTTTGTTTCTTTTGTTCTAGTGGAAATTTTGCGACAGTCACTTTAAAAGAATAGATTTTTTTGTTTCTTTTAGGATTTTATGGCAAACTAATTTATTTCTTCAGAATTTTTTTTTATGTTTCTTTCACTACACTCAGTAGTTTTTTTTTTTTTTTTTTTTTTTTTTTTGTTTTTTGTTTTTGTTTTTAAATGCACATGATATAAGAACTTTTCTAGAGTTATCCTGACATTAGCATGGTTTGCATATAACTCTGGCCACCTGTGTGTGTTACAAACAGTCAAGTAAATTAATTTCAAATCTCTTGGGAAAAGGAATAATAAATTTAATCGAGTTAGATAATATTAATCATTTTAAGTGCTACAGGATTAATAGTTTATCATTGTAGGAGTAATTCATATATTCATTCTTTTTTATCCTGCGATGTAATACCTTCTCTTTTTATTTGTAATTTCTGAAGTGCGAGATTTTCCATTATAGCTAAATTTTATAGAAACAACAGACATGTTATATGTACAGTTTTTTACTTTTCCAATCTAGCCATCACTTAGCACTTTTTAGGTTTTGACATGTTTTCTCACTGCCAGGTGTTGTCAGTTTAGTTTGGCATGAACTCTTGGCTTTTTTCCTGGCAACAGTAGTGTTTATGACCATTACTTGAGCAATCATGTTTTCATCTAATCAGTTTTTTTTTTTTTTTTTTTTTTTTTTTTTTTCCCACTGCAGTGTGTATCATAACTTAGAACTTTCAAAGAAATGAAAAAGTTACCTGTTTTTTCAAGAAAGGAGTATTCTTCACAGAGAAAAATTGTGTTCAAATGACCAACTCATGAAATTAAAATGTGATTCTAAGCCACAATGGCTGTGCAACCTTAGTTCATGCTGTAGAAAAAAGGTATCAACACAGGCATGTTTTGTTAGATCACACATTACCATCGTATGATTAGTTTTTATTTATGGTGTCAGAATTTCTATGGAGGTTTGCAAACCAGAATTTTCTTCAAAGGAATCGTGATGTGGCTGTTAATTGGAATAATTGCATCAGGTATATGACCAATTCTTGTTTTGTCCTAACATTAAAACTGATAGACAATACAGAATTATGAAGACTGATGAAAGCTTATCAGCAAAAGGGAAATAATAATGTGGACCATGTTCTTTCTCCACAGTGCATTTCGGAGAGAATTTTGTCTTGAAATTTGGGAAGGTTTCCCTGTAGTTATTTGTGATTGTTCCATATTGTTTCTTATCAAGCCAAATGTATGGAGAAAGAAATAAGTTAAAATGTGCCAGTATTGTGCTAAAAGTGATGGTATGTCTCAATGAAAAATTGCCAGAATTTTAAAGCTTTAATCCCCTCTTAAAAAACTTTTATTGAATGAAATTGAAAGAGAAAAACAATAGAAGTAATTTTTTTTTTTTTTTTTTTTTTTTTTTTTTTATGAACTTTCCTATGACAAGAGTTAAGTCAACTGCTTGAGTCAATAAATAGACTCATTCTACCAGTTTTTCTATTAAAGTTGTTAAATCTTGTTTGGTTATTAATTCATCATAAACTGTTTAATAAGAGTTAGAATTGGTGAAAATAAACAAACTCCAGTTTAAGTTTTATCTTATCCTCCTTTGACATTTTCTCCACCAATTTCTTTCTTTATGTTATAATGATGTCACATGAACACCTTGTACACAAAAATAGAGGGGGCAGTTCTATATCTCCCATTCTACTGCGCCGATTGATGAAATTTAACTTGCATTGTTCAGGTCTCGAAAGCGTGACTTAGGATATATTTTAGATTTATATATAGCATTATTCTGACACAAAATTGGACTTTTTCTGAAATGACATCCTGTATTTTCCATATTTCAATCTATGACTCAGATATGCCAAGTTTCACACGAGTAGTTTTTAAAAAATTAGCTCTCAAAATTTTAGCTCCTCATTGTAAATTGAATTTGGTACAGATTTATCACAGTTTGAAATTAGTTTAGATTTGATCCATATAAAATTAACAGCTAGTTTCTGTTTTGTTTTTAAAATGTGTATTTTTAAGTAATTTTTATAAATTTTTCGAAACATTTTTTAATTATAACCATTCAAAATTTCCATAAGGCATATGTGAATTTATATATTGGTATGTTTTGAAATTTGTCATATTTGTGATAAGCAATAATGATGCCAAATGTGTTTTAAGCACTTTTTTAAAATTATTTGAAAGTTTTAGAATGATACACCTTTTTTTCCCAATCGTGTACGAAGAATGGAAAAGGAAAATAGGTCACTAAAAATCAAGAATTTCACCAAGTGAATTATTCTTGGTGCATATTGAAAAAAGTGCACCAAGATAAAGTTTTAGTGCACCAAGATAAATTTTTAAATTTCTCATTGTGACAAATTTTACAAAATTGAATATTTGGGCATAATTTGAGTCATAGAACTGAAATATGAAAAAAAATCTACATGTCATTTCAGAAAAAATCCGATTTTGTGTCCAAATACCTGTGTTAGAACAATGCTATATATATAAATCTAATATATATCCTAAATAGTGCTTTTGAAATGGGAAAAACACAAGTTAAAATTCATCAATCAACTCATTAGAATGGGAAATACAGAAATGTCTCCCTTTTTTTTATTTGGGTGGAAGGTGTACATAGTTAACCTCAGCCCCCCCCCCCCCCCAAAAAAAAAAAAAAGTGCTTTGTATGGTCCAAGCTCTTAAGCACATGTCTAAGTGTTCTTATATCTTTGTTTGCTTGTTTATAGTATTAATGAATATTGTATGTATGTAAAAATTATAATGTCATACTTTTCCTTTTCTAATTGAATTCTTGTTCTGGATAGAGTTCGTAGCTAAGGGTTTTCAGTGCCAGGGGCAGCTGAAGATTTTGCATCCCTTCCTGTTTTCTAAGAATGGAAAATATTTATTTATAAAATTTCATAACATCAGTTTGGCTCCCTCTGGATGCTGTGCCCTTCCCAGCCCCTCTAACTACGCCCCTGGTTCTGGAATAAATATTACCATATTCTCACATGGATGAGCTACACTTTTTTTCACAAGAAAGCAAATGAAATTCAGGGCTGCAGCTTTCACACATGAATGATTAGAAGTAGGTACACACAAATATGTGGAACATACTAGCAGCACATATTTAACTACTTCACCATTTTCTCCAAGACGTATTCATCCATTTGAAAAGTATTCTTAGATGTCAGCTACAAAATATGCTCATCGGGATTAAATGTGGCCTGGATTATTTCCAGTGCAGGATTTAAATATAAGCTACACAAGCTATAGATAAAAAGATAATATTAAGAAGATGGGATATAGGAATGCATTTCCACACCATTTCAGCTGGCATTGCAATGGGAACTACTGCTCGTTTGAAAGCTTGCTTTTATGGGATCAAAAAATTTATCTTTAGAGGAATCTGATACTAAGGATATTGATACAGATGATGGAAGCTACTGATCTAGTGCTACCAATAGTGAGAGCGAGTAAAAGGTACTAAACACTGAAACATGTTTCTTTTGACCAATAATAAAAAATTTGTCTCAGTATATTTAAGTATTGTTTTCATTTTAGCTGTTTTCACATCTTCAAAATGAATATGGAAGGCTGTTGACAGGCTATGCATGCCTTATCCTCGAGAATTTTTTTCCCAAAATTAAAGAAATTAAGGGTGCAACTTATACATTAAAAAATGTGGTATATTAAATATTCTTTATTTTCATTTCTTTGTAAAGTCTAAATTTGTAGATATTTTCTATATAAATGGTCTTCTTTTGTGTTTTTACAACTCAATTCTGACACTTGCATGCCTGTTGTAGGCAATTTCCATTTTGAGCAAGGCATAAAATAGTCATGGAAAACACTACAAAACGTAATTATTCCAAAACTGTCAGTGCATTTTTTTTTTATCATTTTCTTTATCCCCATCATTAAAATTATCTGCGTATGTCCCACAATCTCTCTCCTGTTCATACTAAATGAGATAGGCATCATTAATTTTTTTATGTCAAGTCTAGGTTTAGTGTTAAAAATTTGCACTTTGTGATTTTTTTTAAAAATCTTTTGATTAAATTTCATAAGCATATAAGGCTTTTACTATGACAATCTCATGAACTTTCTAATTTTAGAGATGTTCTGATCCAGTCATGTTGCTGTAATATTTTGGCCTGTCTCAAATCTGTTTTGATATTTATTACATTTTATATAGCCAGACTTTGTTGGAAGTTATTAGGTATCATCTGCTTTATATAAAGATTGATCAAAGAATTTTTGTGTGTATGATAGATACGGTATTGTATATATGGTAGGAGTATTAATCTTGTCCATGATGGATAGTAGCATCCTGAATTTTAGCGTTTGAATGCTAGAAGATATTTTTTATGGTACCTCTGCATCTTTTCATCTGTATGTTTAATAATATGTCCATAAAAATTATGCTGTCAACTTTGTTTTTTATTTATTATTTTAATGAGTGGTAATTTGCAAAAGGCAATTGATGAAATCCTTTAATATCAACCCCTTACACCTACTGAAAGAAATTATGAAATCATATTTTGAAGTATGGAACACTGTTATTTCTTTCATGAATCAAAATGAGATAATCGAATTTGTGTGTTGATTTAAATGATGAATGCAATTTGTGTGTTATGTAAATAGGAATAAAATTTTATTAAAAGAAAATCATCAGACTTATATTCAAGTCACCAAGGCATGTATTAGATTTAATCAGCTTATTTATAAATTTTAAGAGTATCCAAGTATTTGTGCATCATCTTTGTCTGTATTTCATGACTAAAAATAAATAAATGAATAAATAAAGAATTTATTATTTAGTTTTGCACAAAATTTTAAACATAATATATAAATTGTCTTTCAGCTATCCGACCTGATGAAATAGAATCAGCAAAAAAGCATGGTTCACCTTTAGAACTCTTGCTTCCAAAAGAAGAATCTTCTACTCCTCAAACTACATACGTTTCTCAGCCGCCACCCCAAACTTCACATGCAGTTCCAACTTCTTCTAGTTTTGAAGAAATTTCATCAGTTACCCATACAGAAAGTTTTTCAATCGAAAGCTCAGCTTTTTCTCCTAGCACTCCAAATAAGTAAGTATTTTGTTGGGTATCTATCGTTCACATAATTTTGGTTCTCTTATTTAGTAATAAGTATTTATTTAACTGTCTTGAAATAAATCTGATTATTTTTATAATCTTCTTGCACATTTGAGTATTAATAAGTTGACTTAGATTTAATTTTTTTTAAATGGAGGTCAAGGCTAAAATGAATATCTGCCTATATTTCAGTCAGTTGTCCCTTTTGTTAGTAATAACAATAGTGTTAATAAGGTTATTCTGAGATAAGAGCTAAGGTATTGATAACACTATGCTGAGTTCTATTAGCCACATCCTTGCCCATGTGATGTAGTCTTCACCTTTGCAGCTATAAAGATTAATTCCATAATAAACCCTATTAGTTTTGCTAAGTATTAATTTCCAGAGTACAAAATCCCACTTTTAAGCAATTTTTCACTGTTTCTAAAGACAGACGATTTCTTCACAAGTTTAATGACCACCAAGACTATGCCTGTTATTTAAGAGACTGACAGTGTAGCAAGTGACTACCACATTATTGACTTCTGATAATCTGTTTTAACACTGTTAATAACACTTTAATTGATCAATTGCAAAAGATGGGGAGTATAGGAGGGATAAAAAAAATCAGGCATTGCAAAGTTTGCTGTTGTTTTATCTAAAAATTACAAAATATGAAAGTCATGTGTATTTATTTTGAGGATTTTAACTTTCAATTAAAAGGTTTTATCTTTCATCATTATTTGATAGAAGAAAATGAAAGAAAATTTCTCTTGAAAATTTCCAGTGGCTAGTACCAGAGTCAAGTAAAAGAATTTAATTAAAAAGAATGTTATTAACTCATCCTCCTATGATCATTTAAGAAGAAAATAGAGGAAACCAGAATCTACAATGTGTAGAATAGTTAACGGTTTCTAAATTATCTACAAGCTTTCTTGGAAATTTTCTGTATAGGTTAATATTCTACATAAATACCTTCTTTCTGGATTTAAATTTCATAGCTGCTGTTTATTCCAAAGATGTCTACATCGCATTATACGGCAAGTCCAAGAAAAGACTATAAGATTTTTCTACTAGGGAAAAGTTTTTTTCTTTTCTTTAAATGGAGACAAGTCAAATTTTACAGTGTAAAACTAATTTTTGTGTAAGATATTCATTTGTTGTTTGTGCAATATTTTTCCCCTTAATTTTGAAACTTTATATTATTTAAATTGCCTCTTATAAATTTCCCTGTATTTTCAAAAAATATTTACTTTGTGACAGTTCTTCCTATATATTTTTATAAATGAAGGTAATGCATTATTTTATATTGCAGTGGTACAGAAACTTATAACTCTGTGAAAAGTTCTGTTAAGCAAGTAGAATCTGTAAATCATGTGTCTCATACATCGTTTCAAGAAAAGTTATCACCTGAATCACCATATTTTGAGAAAGACGATAGCATGCAGCAGAATACAGTACACTCATCTGATTCAAGTCCTGGAGCTACAAATCCTCATTTAAGTGGCAGATTTCAAGATAATTTTGAGCGGGAATTGCCACCAGAAAATGAATCTGCTTTTGAAGCACAAGGTGCTGCCTTGGTAAAAGATCATTTTTTACCTAAGTGTGCATTTGCTGCACCATATTCCAGTAAATTACCACCACGTGAAAGACCTCTAGCAATACGTATGTTACCCAAAGGTGGTAAAAGCAGGGTAAGTATTTATTTCTGTAGTAAATCTTGTGATCTTTTGCATTCCATCAATGCTATGTGATGACATAAATGATAATATGCAGTGTAACTCACTGATGCTTGTGCAGTGACATTACATAAATAGTAAATTTAAGTAGATAGTAAATAATAAATTTATATCTGAAAGTAATTATGTATTACTTTTAATATATTTAGCAGATTTACAGTGAGCATGTTGTTTGGAATATTTATGTATTACTTCTTGCTTTGAAGTTGATAAAGAAAACCTGAAGGAACTTGTATTTGCTAATAAAAGTCTGAATCGTGCCTTTTTATTTTAAAGCATTTACTTCATGGAAATGTATCATGTTTCTTACATGATGTTATATCTTGATTTTAATTAAAATGTGTGTGCATTTTTTCAAATTCATTTTGAGCCTTTATTCTGAACCTCTGTGCTGTCTTTGCTGCTTTATTTTAGGTGCTTTTAATTTTTCCTGCTTTGTGTATGAAAAATGTTGTAAAATTGTAGTGTAGCTCTAAGACTTTAATTTCATTATTTTCTTTTATCGAAAACGAAAATAAAAAGTTACTTTTTCATTTCGCCGGCGCAAATCTCGCCAAGCAGACTTTATTGGCAAAAACATACAGTATACGCATAAGAAATGTTAACAAATGTTAGTTCTAAGAATTTTTTTTATTTTGAAAGAATAAACATTGTGATATCGTTTAAAATTTTGTAATAAGCCAATAAGTAAAGACAATAAATTTGTAAAAAGATATTAATTTAAGAGTTTACTATGCTTTCATGGTTCCACATCCTGATTTGCCGGTTCATATGACATGACCCTAAGTGATCTTATCTCACGTAAACTATGCTACAAAAATGTAATTCTCTCTGTAATTATCTAAGTTAATTTCAAATTAAATCTTAATTTGTGATACAAGTTTAAATGCAAGAATTATTTCAATTCGTACGATTAGCTTAGTCAGAAGTTACCAGCCAGGATATTCCATTTGGCATCAGTTGTACCATTATTGGATACTTTATCGCCTGCACCGGCAAAACGGAAAAGTAAAAATAAAAACTGTATAGATGTAGAATTTTTTCTTCAAGTTCTCTTTTTCAAAAAGACATACCTTGCATAAAATTTTACAGTTTTCACCCTTAGGTTAGTTTTTACTTTAGAGGAAAGCTCTCAGTCTTTCTCCAAAATTAATGTCAGTGCAAGGCTACATTTTAAGCTTATTAACAATATTTCATGTATCATAAATTATAATGAGTAATAAAAACATCATTTTAATATTCTAATTTTTCAGTGTTTTCCTTTTTCAGGCAGCTAATATTTTATCTGCAGTTTTATGTTTAATCAAAGAATTAGATTGGGCTAGCCTAGAGGTTGTAGATACTGCAATTCATTGCCAAATGGAAGAGTTAGAAGAACAGAATTCATCTTAATGAAGAAAATATATAGAGCATCAGTCAAGAGGCTTATCATAATTAAATTAATAACCTGCATTAATAAGATTCACTATTATTTATAAATGCCTGAAATACTTAAATTGAAATTACTTAACATTTGCAGTGTGAAATTGAACTTTTGCTTAACAATATGAATTCTATATTCTTCTAAATGCATTTGCATGAGCAAACTTATGGAGTGTGTAATGCTTGTAACATTTGGCATGTTGTGATAAATCTTCGTTTATTTTTATGAAAAGCATTTATAAGAAGAAAATGGGCATATTTATTGTGTTATCTCCCTGGTTGTGTATGATTTAAAGTATAAGGAAGTATATATATTAATGTATATAACTGATTATAATCATAATTCCTCAGTCAGTATCTGTACATTAAAAAGAAACTCGTCATATAGCATATTTAAAGAAAACTACTGTATTAAACTATGTATTAAAAAAACTATGTGTGATTATGTAATGGGTATTGTAATATTTCTATTGTATCTTTTAACATTGACAATAACATATACATTGGAATATTGCTTTTATTTAGCCTTTATACATTAGAATCTCGTGAGTTATATAGGATGGAGTATAATCTGTTCTCAAATTTAAGTTTTTGTAAATATATAAATGAATGTTTTAATAATTTTCTTATTGTAAAAACTAATGATTTTCACTCTTAACAAATATGTAAATTTTTTTCTTTGCAAATTGTTATGCAGAATTAGTTACTTACTATGTTTTGGTACATGACTTAATTGTTTTGCTGTGAGTGATCTGTTTGGAATCATTCAGTAAGAAAAATTTGAAATGTGTGGGTAGTATTTATATTATGTAATATATGTATATGTCTTAAATATGAGTGCAAAAGAATTCTTCAGTACTGAATTATTCTTTACTGAAAGATAATTCAGTATATCAATGTATTTCACTGCTTCGGAGGGTAAACTCTGCTACAGCATATTTCCATACTATGGTGGAAATCTACTTTACTAACAATAATTCCTACTTTTTCATGACTCATACTTAGGTGATACCACAAAATCTGAAAATTTTTGCTTTAACCTACTCTATTAATACATTAGCCCTTTCGCAACGGCGCATCTTTGTTTAAGACGCGCATGCGGAACGGAAGGGAATTGAAGGCAGTCACCGTACAGGATGGTGGTTTTGCATCGCTAAGCCTAATTTTATATATATTAAAAAAAATTTTTTTAATCAGAAAAAAAAAAGTTTCACTTCTAGCATTGTAATTTTTGGTATCATTTTAGATTATTACTTGAGCTCTTATATATGTTAAAATTAGCATTTAATAACCTTTTTTTCTTTATTTTACATAAAAATATATTAAAAAAATTGCTTATCTTGTAAAATAATTTTCGGAAGTGCTATTCAAATTATTCCAAAATTTTAACTGATAAAATCCATCAATAAAGTTTAAAATTAATAAAACAATACAATAAAGACTATTTACAGTAAGAAGTGATAGAATTTAAAATGAAGACTGAGTGTGGTAAATTCCGAAGCACGGAGAAGTATCACTTTCTAACTCTTAGAAAAGAATCACTTTCTAACTCTTTGGAAAATGAATCATCACTCTCATCTGTGTTAGTAAATGGTTCATTAATCATACGAGTGTATTCTTCCTCTGAAAAATAATGCCTTCACGCCATAATAGACTGGAGGTGAAGCTTTCCGAAATAAAAAGAGAAGAACCCAAAATATGTCTGATTGCAATGCAAAACTTAATAGAGCTCCACATAGTAACCCTAAAAGACTGTACATGGTAGAAGGAAAAATAGAATAAAAAAAGGAGTTGGATATAAATTAGACACGCCAATGTTTATATTAGCACCCCCTGATTTAAAGAGCCCACCTCTGTTTACACTTTCCCTCCTCCTCCTCCCCCCCACCTTCACAACAGTTGATGAGTAAAATACCAAAGTCAGGCAGTATATATCAAACTCAAGGTCAGGAACCTAAAACTGTGTTCATTTCAAAAGTAATAGACATATAATAGAAGCGTCATTTGCACTTTTGCAGCTGAGGCTGATGATTCGGTAAAACCGTTGAAACTAGTCCTGTGAAAATTTGAAAATATAGCTCTGTTTTTTGTTGTTTGACTTCTAAATTAATAAGCTCTTAAGTTGTCTTTTCTTATGAGTAACTGTAAGTGTAATATGAAATAACTTTCATGCCTTTAAGAAGATATATTGTCATCTGTCATGTGTATTCAGATATTTTTGTTTTCTTTTTAAATATTTATGTAGGAATAATAATGCATTTGTTTAAATTTTTGGGAATGCAAAACTGATATTTCTGAAAGTTAATTTCAACTCCATTTCCTGCTTGAAGAAAAAATCCTTCATTTCTTGACTTTGCCATTTTTATTTTTACTATAGCTAAACATGCAAAAGTCATTTTATCTTTTATGCCAGACTCTTATATATAATATATATATATATATATATATATATATTAACTACTGTAAAACTGTAGGTTTGGATAAAAAGAATGTATTGTGAATTACATTCATATGATTATGTTTGGGGAATTGTGATAACTCTCAAATGCATTTATTTTATAATCACTATTTATTAATGGCTATTTGTTTGGTCTTCCCTTTTCTAAATCTCTGATTTGTTTATCATTTTGCTGTATTTGAAGTGCTGCTATTCATGTTTGAAATACTTTTTTCAGAAGCATTCTAAAAAAAATGGAATAAAGATAAATAATCTTTTTCTATCTTTTATGTATGATCTAAGTTTAGCATGTAATGAGTCACCCATAATAGTGTATAAATAGGTAATAATTTAGATGAGAAGACTGAGGTATTTGCAACCATGGTTGGTCTAATATGTTTTACTTTCATTGGCAAACATTTTTTTAAGCCAACATGGATAAAATTGGCATAATAAGCATAGCTGGTCTTTGCAAGAGCTACATCAGTACCCTTGATAACAAAAGAGAAATTTGTATGATATAAGTTCAGTAAAATAAAAGGTATGCTGTGTTTGTATTTTAATTTTCTTGGAAGTCTTTCACATGCATATTACTTCATTTTTCTTTCGTTGTTTTTCTAAATACTGACAAAAATATTACAGCTTTGTTGAGAAATGAATAAATAACTGTGCTTGCATATGTTTTAATTTTATTTTTGTCTGTTGGCTCTTTTTACCATGTTTCCCAAAGTATATGAAACATTTTCAGTGGTTATAAACCACTCAAAATTCAATTATTAACAATGCAATGATTACTTAGAATTTTGTTAATGTAGAATCATATCTTTACAACAATACTGTGTAGTTCATTCAAAATTGTGATCATTGCCATGATAATATCTTGTGCCATTTCAGCTGGAACTATGTTATCTCATAATCTGAGTCTGAAGAAAAATATGATAATAAATGAAACATTTTATTAATTATTAATCAGATATATACTAATATAACTGGGCTAAAAATTTGCATTTTCCCCTCTAAACAAAGGAAAGGAATAAAATTAATGCGATGTATTATAGCTAAAAGTTTGCAAATCTGCTGTTGCATACTTTGCTCACATAAGATTTATCAACATCTCTTTTATTAATAATATTGGGTGGCCATAGTGTGCCTAATTGTTCAGGCATTCTTGTAAATATGATAGTGACTTAACCGTTTTGTTGATTAAAAGAATAAAGAAATCATTTAAAGATCTTGAGACTCTTTGATGGGGGCTAATAGTCATAAAAGTTTAGGAGCCTCTGTATATTTGTTTAAACTAAGATTATGCCATACTGCACTTTAAATTATGGGAGGTATCCGGATTAATTTGATAAAAAGTATAGTTCTATATTATTTTTATTTTTCTCTTTGTAATTAAGATACAGATTTGAATTTCATTGTTAGGGTCCAACTGAACAATTAAGTCTAGTTTTACATAATAAGTATAATGATGATTATAATTTATATTTACATGTGTTTTTCAACTGTATACATGGGTGTGTCAAGAATAACTCGGTGAATCATACATGTTTCATTTATGCCTAACGATAAATGATCACAACATTTAGTTTGATAAAATAATTTCCTGCCTAGTTGGGGGAAGGAACCTTGGTTTGACATAGATTATGATAAAATTTTATCGATTTCGAGGGCAATCAGACTCCAAGTTTCTTTTTTCAAAAGCAAAGAGATTTTGCATTGGCATGTTTCTTTTTCTTTTAATTTCATAATGTTGTATTCCTTTTTAATGCTTTTTGGTATGCATGCTTCATGTAAACATTTTTGGATATTTCTTTTGGTTTCATATTTGAATTCCATATCTTCAAAATGCAGCATACTTTGAATGACATCTAGACTAGAAAATATTTTAATTTAACAGTATGTGCATGAAGCTATTATACTAATTTGAGAATGATTTTTCTTTTCTTTCTTTTAAAACTCTTTCATTATAAGAACTGGCTGAAATAGAACTGGCTGAGAATGATTTTTCATTTCTTTCTTTTAAAACTCTTTCATTATAAGAACTGGCTGAAATAGGAGTACCTTATGTTTCAGCTACCTTGTGTAATTAACTACATATATCTATGTGCTTTTTCTTTTTTGTAGCAGTGCACTGCTACAGAAAAGACTGCTTTCTTAAATTGCAGGGATTCAGATTGTGATAGGAAAAAAAAAAAAAGTGTAATTTTATCATAGTACTCATTCATAATAAACAGATAAACTGTGTGAGTAATTGTATTTTATGCAATATGTAGAATTTAATATACAGTTCAAAAAATCAAAAATACAATTCTTCATGTACTGAAATCTATTTATATTATACATTTTTTTAAGTTACATCTGATACTCTCTTAAAAAAAAATTGAACTGAACAATTTTATCTTGATTAAATTAAATGATTTCAATGATTAACTGAAAATAATATGTGTAGCAATTGTATGGTTTGTAAATGTCCATAGTTATAATTGAGTGAAATATGAGTCGCATATTATGGTTTAGTATCATTGTATTTTAACTTATTATGAACAGTGAAATGCTTGTTTTGAATTGCATGTAAATAAAATCAAATAATAAAGGAATTAAAAATTTTCTTGGACATAGTAAAATTGAACAAAGAGTTTTCGGAAATGTAAGAAGTTTTCAAAATGTCTTTGCTCAATTTTTTTAACGAGATTAGGATATTTTTTTCATTAATTTGATAAGACTATATGTGTAGTTTGTTTTATTTATATTAGTTTTGTACATTTATAAAATATTGTTTTTATGTATATTGTCATAAAAAAGCACAAAAAATTTATCTTAACCAGTGTGATATTTTTTTTTAATACCTTAAAAAGCTAGAATGACTTTTATGTTATATGTTGTTAGCTTCATTTTTTTTTCCTACCAATTTTTTTCATTTACTAACGTGCAAAGATTTGAGTTCAATTAAGCTGAAATACTGCACAAACATTCAGCTCATTAATAATATTGATTAATATATTGTTATGTATATAATGTATGAAATGTTAAATCATAAATGTATTTGAAAGATGGTTTATTATATGTAAGCTTTCAAAGTGCAGAGTAACATTCCATTGTACTTTTGTTATTTTTCTTGGATATTTTGCTGTCTTTAATAAGAATATTATTCTACAAGGAAGTCTGACAAAATATTTAACATTTTAGTAATTATTTTCTAGAAACTTACTTTTGGGGGGAGAGGAGTTTATAATGGCTTAACTTTGATTTATCACTTAAACTTCATTTTGGGGCATATTTGAAAAGAATTTTTTTTTTTTTTTCCCAAAACAAAATGTCTAAGCTTTATCCACTTGATCAAGTTCAGTTTTTTTTTATTGTTATTTAAATGTATTGCATGTGTACTTTTAATATCAAGCTGTGTGTGAAGTATTGTATGTATGAATTTGAAATTTTTGTCTGTATCATTTATTAAATATCTTTTAAAGAAAGAAATGCCCTTTAGTTTGTTTGTTATTAAAATAATCACAATTTTAAATTAAAAAAAAGTTTTCTAAAATTATAATCATGTATTTATCCCCCCCACCCCATTATTGAACTCTGATAGTAACTTTGCAGCAAAACTGATGGTGTATAATAGTGATAGCATTCCGCTCAAGTGAATTTGACATTTAGGTTTTAGAACATTAATTTTTCTCATATCAAATCATTAATTTACTTTCTAATAATCAGTAAACTGAAATTGCATCATTATATAAAAAATGGGAAGGTATCTTAAGTTATAATTTAAATTTTTAATTATGATAAAAAATTTCATTTG